TGCGCTCTCCGCTCCGCTCGGCGCCAGCTCAGCACGCCGGGGAGGGGGCTTCCGGAGGGGGGTCCGCACCCCCATCTCGCCGCCCTGCCCCGACCCTCTCCCTTGGGCGCCCGCGGGACCTAGGCCCCAGGCCCGCTCGGAGCACCGCTGGGCACAAGCCACCTTCGGAGCAGGATCGGTTGACTTCCCGGGACCGTGAGAAGGGAGACCAGAGCGGAGAAGCCTGGGACCCCGGCTGCCGGGACTACATTTCCCACAATGCCCCGGGAGCAGCCCTTCCGGTGCCTCGGCTGGCTGGGCGCTGGCTGGGCTCTGGCTGGGCTCTGGCTCCGCCTGGTGGCTAGTCCTGGCTCCAGCGGGTGATGCTAGTTGGAGAGGTGCAATTGCCTCTTTAATACCTGAAATCCCCTTATTTTGTGCCCTAACTGGTGTGGCTCAGTGGATAGAGCGTCGGGCTGCGGACTGAAAGGTCCCAGGTGCGATTCCGGTCAAGGGCATGCACCTTGGTTGCAGGTACATCCCCAGTGGGGGGTGTGCAAGAGGCAACTGATGGATGATTCTCTCTCATAAATGTTTCTACCTCTCTATCCCTCTCCCTTCCTCTCTGCAAAAATCAATAAAATATATATTTTTTAAAAATGAAATCCCCTTACTTTAACCCCCATTGAGGGAAGGCGGAAGATCGGAAACGATATAAAATGGAGTCCCTTTAGCCAAGCTGCCGAAATTATTAACACTGTGAAGGCAAGCCCCACTTCTTAGCCTGGGAAATAAAGCTCAATTAGAACTTTGCAGTCCATCCTCCACATCTCTTAAAATGCTTTTCTCTGAAGGGTGCCTGGCCCTGCAGGTGGTAGCTGTTTCCTAGGATAAAATGCTATTAAATTCCGAGTTTCCTCTTTTAAAAAAATTATAGTTTTATCCAGAGAGGAAGGGAGAGAGGAGGGGGGGGGGGGAAGCATCAATGATGATAATCAAGCATCAGCTTCCTCCTGTACCTCCCACACTGAGGATCAATCCCGCAACCCGGGCATGGGCTCTGACCGGGAATGGAAGGAACCACAACCTCCTGGTTCATAGGTTGATGCTCAACCACTGAGCCACACTGGCCGGGCAAATTCTGAATTTCTTATATTCAGGAAAAACCTCTCTGTGGAAGTTGGTGCCTGTCTGGTTCTGCCTCAGCTGCTACTGAAAGAAATGACGTGCCCAAACGAAGTTTCCGAGAGGCAGGGTGTCTGTCCTCAGCTGCTCTCGGGAAATGCTAACATCTGCTGTTTTGAATCCTAGTTATCCCAGATGGGCATCGTAGAGACTCAGGGGATCCATCACTTCTGGGCTAAACTGTCCTTCTTAGAGGGAGGTCTAGTCAACTGTGAAATAGCCACGAGGGATAATGCATTGGCTGTCTTTCCCGAGCCCAGCGGGAGAAGCCCTCGTAGGACATAAATCTCGGCTGGGATGGGACAGTCTGAAATGAGGACAAGCAAGAAAGATGTCCAGATCAGGGGCTGTGACATCCGGCAGGCACATGACCTTTCTGGAAATAGGAACGATCGATAAAGCTTATCTGAAGTGGGGATTCATAAACACCAGTGTGCCTTTTGCCGTCAGAGGGGGTTAGTAGCCAGTATTTTTCCAGATGGAATTCTATATTTCCTGTCGGCTCCTTCAGCCTTCGGGGAGTTAAATGGCTTGAGTGCTTTGGGACTGGGAGAAGATAGCATATTTTAGCACAATATGAGAGAGCATGTAAGTGGAATAAAACTCCTTTCACCAGTCAAAATAAAAGTTGATCATTTTGTACGTGCATATATGTGTTTACATATCAGTTGGTATGTTTACGTAATGATAAGGACAAACCAGAACAAGGTAACTTCTTTTTTATTTTATTTTTTCATCTTTGGAAAAAGCAAAATTGACTTTGGCAACCCGTGGCAATTAGTGAGTCATGTGTGTGAGTCTTGCTGAGTGATTACATTTATTTTAATTAGCTCAGTATTGTGGGGCATCTCCTAACATCGTTTTGGCTGCCATTTACTGGCTGGGTGGCCTTGATTAAGTTAGCCAATTTTTATGTGTTCTGGTTTGCATCTCTGTCATCTGGAACTATATCATCTATTCAAAAGGTTATGAAGAAGGTTTGAGACGAAAAGCACTTTGTATAGTATCTGGTATGAACTGTTCCAGGAATAAGTGCTAACTTTCAAAAGTACTTTAAAAAAAAAAAATACACAGAGAGAGAGAGAGTGTAGCCAGATTGTTATGATCTCTGAACACATAATAATCTGGCCACTCAGTGTGTGTGTGTGGGGGGGGGGAGGATTAGTTGAGGGGAGTGTTGACTTGCAGATACCTATTCATGTTATTGTGATTATTTGATACTAATATGAATAAAGCCTGAGAAATTTGAAGGTATTCATGGATAACAAAACAGAAATAGAGTCAAACGTTTAAAGGCATTTAGCTTACAAAAAGGTGGCATTTTGAACAGGTGGGGAAAGGATTGTAATTGTATCGCCAAAATGTAGGTTATCTATTTTACTGCACAAGTGACCGACAATTTAGAGGGGGAAAAAATTGCATCTTTACCTCCATTACCTGCAACCAATAAATTCCAGGGAGTTAGAAGATGTAAACAAACAGAACCCTAAGGATTTAGAAGAAAATATGAGTAAGTTTATTTATAATCTCAGAATGGGGAAGGTCTTTTAAAACTAGAACCAAACTCCAGGATCTACAAAGGAAAAGATGATACATTGACAACATGAAACTTTACACTTCCTATATGCCAATCAATCAATAACATCAAAAGACAAATAAACAAATAAAAACATTTCAAGACGTAAGACGGCAAGATTCCCAAGTACACAGACAAATTAATTAAGACAACGGCTGCTGCTTTCAGGCATTCATTTTTCTAACCACACGTCCTCCTCCTCCTTACTGCATCTGTAAACGGCAGAGTAGTTACTGGGATGGTCAAAATACAAGCTATTTCGTCCACTTGTCTATGGTTTTCTCTACAAAATACAAAACCACAAAGGCTGTTTTCAAAAGCATATTTGTAGTAGGGATCAGTTTTCAGATAGCAAGAAGAAATGAAGTGTTTTCTTTTTTTCTTTCTTTCTTACTCCTCACTCAAGGATATGTTTTCCATTGATTTTTGCCTTGTTTTAAGAGACAATGGAGGGAAGGAAGGGGAGGAGAAGAGGGAAAGAAACATCAGTGTGAGAGAGATGTTTACACCCTGATCTTTCTAAAGATACTTTTAGTAAAAGAGACACGGAGAGAGAAAGGAAATACTGTGTGTTGTTTGTCCCATGTAAAATGGGTGAACTCTTGAGGACGGTGTGATTTGGGATGCTCTTTTATCCCTTTTGTTGTAAACAGCGTGTCCGTTCTGAGCAGGTGCACACGCACCGACACACACACACACACACACACACACACACACACACACAGCATGTGCAAGCCACCATCCCTGGTGAAAAGCAATCTATGTGCATCACCCAGCAAGGAGTGAAATAAATGGCTGGAAACACTTCAGCAGTTTCTTTTGCTCTGAAAAATCAAATCTCTGCTCCTGGTGGCTCCATCTCGAGGGTTAGAAGCGAATTAAAGACCCTGAAAGTGGGGGTGGGAGGGCGGGGGGTGGGGGGGGAAAAGGGCTGAAAGCCTTCGGGCTCTGAGCGTTACTGGATGAGACAGCGGAACGGGCGATATTGTCTGGGGTCTCCCTCTGATATTATTAAAGAATAAGAACTATGGGAAGAAGCGACGTGACTACTGTCAGCTAGATCACCTAAGCCAGCGGCCGCCAACCTCTCAGGCCTCACGGACCACCGGATGGCGACCCCTGACCTGAGCAGTGACTTCTGGCCCCGAGTCAGTTCAAAAGGAGCATCTCCTTGGCTTTTCAAATATATATATTTGCTAGAGGCCCAAAGCACAAATTTTGTGCAAGAGTAGGCCTTCCTTCCCCCGACTGCAGGCACCGGCTTCCCTCTGGACCCGGGCTTCCCTCGCAGCCCTGCCTTTGTCCGGAAGGACAGCCGGCCTAGTGAGCATGTTACGCTTTATTATAAATTGATTTCAGAGAGAAAGGGAGAGAGATGGAAACATCAATGGCTGAGAGAGAATCATGGGTCGGCTGTCTCCTGCACGCCCCCTACTGGGGATCGAGCCCGCAACCCAGGCGCATGCCCTTGGCCAGAATCGAACCTGGGACCCTTTGGTCCACAGGCCTATTATGCTCCATCCACAGAGCCACACCAGCCAGGGCTAACGCGTTTTTAAATGATGGGTTCGTTTAGCTCTGGGGAGTCCACTGGGCTGCTGGTCCCGATGGAACCCCACCACCCTTTGGGGTGTGCAGCATGGAGCAGACTCGCTAAACTCCCCAGTGTCTGAGAAACCCGCCTGCCTGGCCTGGGGCCCCTCCTCACCCGCAGGCGGGCGGGCGGAGTGGCGGAAACCAGGCAGGTGAAAGGGTCACAAAATCAGCTATGTCTTTTTTTTTTTAAACATTGAAACAGCACACCGTGATTCCTCTCTGCCATCTCTCTCTGGTAATAAAAGCTGAATCGCCATAAACCAGCAGGTCAGGTCTCTAGGTTTAGTTGGACGTCCCCTCCCCAGTCAGGGGTGGGGATGGAGGGCGTGTGACTTAAATTCACGTGTTCCAGTCGAGGGCTGTGCACGGGCGGAATCGGGCGGGGTGCTCACGGGAGCCTGGCAGCGAGGGACGGGCAGGCGGCATGCAGTACCAGCCCGAGGGCCCCCGCAGCTGTCCCGGCCTCCAGGGCTCACGGGAGCCGGGACCAGGCCCGGGCCCTGTCAGGGGTCCCGCTGACCTGAGGGACGCTCCAGAGATGTCCAGCTGAAAGGAAAACACGTGCTGACTGGCATCCTAAGACTGAGTGAGCGTTTCCAGGAGACGTAACCACGGGCCTGACAGCCACCGGCCCCCGACCCCCGCAGCCTGGCACCAGCACCCGCTAGGCAAAGTCCTTGGACACGGCCTCCACGAAGTTGGGCGCGGACATGAGGATGCCGATGGTGCAGAGGATGGTGAAGACGGAGAAGGCCATGAGGCACAGGCGGTCCACCACGCAGGCGGCGAACTGCCACTCGCTGCGCACCGCCTCGCTCTCGTCCTGCCCGCGGAAGCGGTTGGCCAGGTAGCGCACCTCCTCCAGGATCTTGGCTAGGTCCGGGTCGCCCTCGGGGGGCGGCCCACCGTGCAGCAGGTGCTCCTCGTGCAGGTGGGCCGGGGAGCAGGCCAGGCGGCCGCACACCACCCCGGAGTCCGGCGTCGGGGCGCAGTGCACGGCGCCGTCCAGGCCGCGGAAGCCGATGTAGAGCAGGTTGCCGCCGCCGTTGGCGGTGGCGGGTGGCGCGGCCACGGCGCTCAGCTCCACGCTGGCCAGGCTGCAGCGGCGGGCGCGGTGCTGGCAGGCGGGGCGCACCTTGCCCTCCCCCGGCCGCTTCATGCGCAGGAACCACGCGCACCAGTTCAGGAGGATGACCCTGGTCTGGGGGACACGGTGGGGGATTAGGGGCGGCGGTGCCATCCCCAAAGCCACCAGCCCTGCCCCGTGTGGCTCAGGTGGAGCGTCCGCCTAGGAACCAGGAGGTCACGGTTCAAGACCCGGGTTCCCGGCTCCATCCCTTGTAGGGGTCCGTGCAGGAGGCAGCCGACCCATGATCCTCTCTCCTCGCGGATGTTTCTCTCTCTCTCTCCCTTCCTCTCTGAAATCAATAACCAATATATTTTTAAAGATTAAGTACGTGAGCCCGCCGCTCCCCCCACCCCACCCCCCCAGTTCCCCAGCTGCAGGGGGAGCAGAGAGACGCACCCACTTGGGCATCTGGCCGCCGTCGGGGTCGTGGTGGTGGTACTGCAGCACAATCACCGTGACGACCACGGACAGGCCCACGATGATCATGGTGCTGGCAAAGTACTGGGCTGCGGAGAGAGCGCAGGCGGTGAGGCCCGGGGCGGGGGGCGGAGGGCGGGCCCGGGAGGCCAGGCCTTAGCTCTGTCCCGGCCCAGACGCGTGTCCTCCAGCGAGTGGCCCGGGAAAGAGCCGCTGAGGATGGCGGTGCCTGCCTTCCCGCTGTGAGGGAGGTGCTGTGGGGGAGCGTGGTTCACAGCGAACGCAGCGAATCTCTAAGGCTAAAGCCTCTGGCCCCGGAACCTCCAGAACAAGCGCGAAGAAGGGGAGTGAGGGAGGAAGGGGGCCCGTGTCTGGGTCTTAGAGCCAAACTGCAAAGCTGGCTCCCCAACCCCCTCGCCCGGGCCCAGGTGAGCAGCGGCCACGGCCGCTGACGTCACAGGGAGACACGGCCCCACGGCAGAGCCTCGGCGCCCCGCTCCGTGGCCGTGCCGGGAGGCCTCACCGATCAGGGGCACCGAGTCGGACGTCGCAGGCATGATCTCGGCCACCAGCAGCATGAAGACTGTGAGGGAGAGCAGCACCGTTATCCCTGCGGCAGAGAGAGGGAGGGCCCTGAGAGGCCGCCGCGGGCTCACTTCCCCCCGCAGGGCCCTGCCCTGAGGCTCCGAGCACGAGAGGAGGGGCAGGGGCAGGGGCAGGCGGCCTGAGGCTTTCCTGAACACGGGGCCTGGCTTTCTGCGCTTCTCTGGGGACAGCCACGCCCTGTACCTGCGCCCCAGAGAAGCCCCGGGTGGAGTCAGATTGAGGCGCCAAAGCTTTAGAACAAGACAAAGTGCAGCTCGTGACGTGAGTGCCAGCATCTCATTTTATTTCATTCATAGGGAGGGGCCTCGTGAGGCCGGAAAAAGAAAACAGCCAGCTGGCCAGCGTGGGCTCAGGGGTTGAGCGTCCACTTTGAAGCAGGAGATCACGGTTCGATTCCTGGTCGGGGCAGGTGCCCAGGGTTTTGGGCTCCCTCCCCAGAAGGGGGGCATGCAGGAGGCAGCAGACCCGTGATTCTCTCTTATCACTGGTGCTCCTACCTCTCCCTTCCTCTGAAGTCAGTAAAAGGATATAGACTTAAAAACAAAAAAAGCAGAGTGGGGTGGCGGAGAGGACAATCCTTAGGCTTCCAGGGAAGAACTGGCCCCTTCCTGGGTGTTCCCACCCTCCTTGTGGGATCAGAGGCTGCTAGGGTGTCTCCTGAGGGCTTGGTGATGATCAGGAGCCTGCGTCCTCGGGGAGTCTGACGTCACAGGCCGCGCCCCCAGCACCTGCGGGCGCTGTCCGCGGTGCTGACCCCCCACCCCCCTCCTGGCAGCGCCCTCCCCTGTCCGGGTCCCCGTCTTCCCAGGGAAGGCAGGCACGCACTCACCCAGGGAGATCTTCTCCCCGGAGTCGGCGGGGAGCAGGAAGACCAGCAGGGCCAGCGCGGAGATAAGCACGCAGGGGATGAGCAGGTTGAGGCCGTAGTAGAGGGTGCGGCGGCGGATGGTCACCGTGAAGGTGACGTCAGGGTACGGCTCCTTGCAGCACTCGTAGAACCTCTCGCTGCGCTTGCCCGGGATGCCTCGGCGGGGACGGGGAGGAAGGAAACTACGTCACCTGCCTGTTCGTTTTAACGCGTGGCACGCACGCACGCACAGCCGTGGAGTTTATGCCAAAATATATATATATATATATAGATATAGATAGATAGATAGATAGATAGATAGATAGATAGATATAGATAGATAGATATATAGATAGATATAGATAGATAGATATAGATATAGATAGATAGATAGATATAGATACATATAGATATATAGATATAGATAGATAGATAGATAGATAGATAGATAGATAGGGGCCTGGCCGGTGTGGTGCAGTGGTGGAGTGTGGACCTGTGAACCAGGGGGCCACGGTTCCATTCCCTGGGTTGAGGGCTCGATCCCCAGTAGGGGCTGTGCAGGAAGCAGACGATCAATGATTCTTTCTCATCATTGATGTTCCTACCCACCTCCCAACCCCCGAAATCAAGAAAAAAATATATATTTAAAAAATATATATTTACAACGGGTAACTGGTGTCTGCATGAACACTTCCTGGTTTACCAAAGTTCTTTAGGGGTATATTAGTGATATTTGAACAGCTTAGCAGGGTTTGTTTTTTTTTTTTTTTTTTGATGGACTGGAATTACATGGGCTATAGACTGGATGTCTGTGTCCCCCCCCAAAAAAAAAAAATTCGTAGGTGGAAACCTAACCCCTAAAGTGATGGGGCCAGGAGGCAGGGCCTCTGAGAGGCGATTGGGTCAGAGGGGTGCAGCCCTCATGCGTGGGATGAGTGCCCTTGTACGGGAGGCCCCTCTGCCACTGAGACACAGTGAGGAGGCCACTGTCCGTGGTAGGAAGCTGCCCTCGCCAGACACCAGATCTGCCAGACACCGAATCGTCCTCGGCTGTGGACGCCCCGGCTCCAGAGCCGTGAGAAATAAATGTCTGCTGGTTACGTGCCACCCAGATGGACTGAGCGCCGTGACTGAAATAACACGGGGCGAACTTTACACCGGTATAATGCGCTTTGCTGCTGCCCCAACGTGTCCGTAGGAACAGAGGATTTGAAGATGTACAGACGCCTATCCTAGCGCCGGCCCCTTTAAATGTTTTATCACCAAGGTCCCGGGAAGCACTGAATCTTCTCGTCGCCCTGGCGTCTAAACCCTCCAGCTCTCGATGAATCATGGGAGTGCCGCCGGGTGCCGTTTAAACACTCCGGGAAGCAGAGTGGAAAATCCCCGACTGTCGGCAAGCCCAGGGAACAGAGCCGCCTCCTCCCCGGCGGGCGGCGAGCCCCAGGCCGCGGGCTTACCCACGAGGTCCCACTCTCCGTTGGGGATGTAGCCGCTGACGTCCGCCTCCTGCATCTGCAGGTCCAGGGACCAGCCCCCGTAGGACCAGGACCCGAACTTGAGCTTGCACTGCTGCACGTCGAACGGGAACCAGCGCACGTCGATGTAGCAGGAGCTCTTGAATATGCCTGCGTGGGCCACGGCCCGTCAGAGCGCACGGGGAGCCGGCGAGGCGCGCCCCAGACCCCCGGCATCACTCATGACGGGGAGAGCGCGCCTGGGGGGGGGGGCCGCCCGCCCGCCCGCCCGCCCGCCTGCCTGGAGCTCAGGACTGGCTCCCGGCTCGTGGGAGCAGCAGGACGGACACCCCTCGCTCCGCTTGACTCCGCAGGAGCGCTGAGGACCCAGCCTCACCTGGGGGGAGGTACTGGCAGTGCCCGGAAGAGTTCACCAGCACGTTGGTGTGGAATGTGGCATCAAATCGCTCGTCGGCACTGGGAACGGGGAAAAGGTTCCGTGAGCTGGCGCCGCCCCCGGTGCCCTTCGGCTGTCGTGATCGCGTCCCGGCAGCTTGGAGGGGCTGCCATTTGTCCCCGGGCCCCACCCCCCCGGGTCTGAGCGCACCTTACGCAGCCGGCCTGGGGGACGGGTTCCCAGGGGCCGCCGTCCACCCCCATTTCATAGAGACCGAGAGGGAGAAGAGACATCGATGCAGAACAGCCATCAGGTGCCTCCCATACCAGCCCCCTCCTGGGGACTGAACCAAAAGTAGGTGTGTGCCCTGACCGGGAATCGAACCCGTAAGCTTTAAAATATGGTTGTTTTTTTTAAGACCCCAACATCTCCTTTTGTATCTAAAAATATTTCATAAAGCAGAAACTAGTTTGGGACTGAGGGGTCCCAGGTTCAATTCCAGTCAAGGGCATGTTACCGTGCTTGTGGGCACATCCCCATGGGGGGTGTGCAGGAGGCAGCTGATGGATGTTTCTCTCTCATCAATGTTTCTAACTCTCTATCCCTCTCTCTTCCTCTCTGTAAAAAAAAAAAAAAAAAAAAAAAAATCAATTAAAATATATTTTAAAAAATAAAAAGAGCCAAGACCGGTTTGGCTCAGTGGATAGAGCGTCAGCCTGCGGACTGAGGGGTCCCGGGTTCGATTCCGGTCAAGGACATGTACGTAGGCTGCAGGCACATCCCCAGTAGCGGGTGTGCAGGAGGCAGCTGGTCGATGTTTCTCTCTCACGTTTCTAGCTCTCTATCCCTTTCCCTTCCTCTCTGTGAAAAATCAATAAAATATATATATTTTTTAAGTTTCAAAAAATAAAAAATAAAAAAAAATTTCATAAACTCCCAAACACTCCCCCGAGGCTGATGTAGCCACCCGCACAGCACAGCTCAGGGCCCAGCCATCCTGCCTTGGGCTGCTGACCCCCAGCACCAGCCAGGCCTCTCCTCCACCCAACAGGGGAGACGTGACTAGCCGTACCCCCCCCCCTCCACCCTCAGCTGCGTTCAGGAAACCCTGGAACCGCAGGCTCAGGTAGCGCGGAAGGAAGCAATCAAGAAACGCCTGGCTCAGCACCTGGCAGGCCTGCCTTCTTGGCAGCCACCTTCTCCGCAGGCTGCCCGGCCAGCTGGCTGGCAGCACCGGCCACCAGGGAAATAAAGCAGCCCGTCCCACAGGACAGACGGTTGGTCTGCAGCAACCGGCCTCTTTCAAAAAACATCTACGTTTACTGATTTCAGAGAGGAAGGGAGAGGGGGCGAGAGAGACGTCCATGACGAGAGAAGCATCGGTCGGCTGCCTCCTGGGGGTTGACCCAAAGCCCGCGCGGGGGTCCTGGCCAGGGGCTCAAACGAGAGCCTCTTGGCACCGGGGTTGATGCTCCCTCACTGGCCACACTGGCCGGTGGAGGCCCCTCTCTCTAAAACATATTTCGCTCTCTGTCTCTTCCTCGGCCTCACTGCCCCAAGATGCTTTGCATTTGCTCCTCAGGTTAGCCACAATGCTTCTAGAGACAGACCCACCTGGGCACCAACCAGGCGGCCTTGGGTTACAGACGGACCCCTCGCTCCCCTGCCTTCTCAGAGGCCCTTCACAGTGCCCAGTGGGAGCGCTGGTCCAAACTGTAGATACAGGACCAGGCACGCCCACACAATGCACACACGCACGCACGCTGACCACCAGGCAAAGGGGCGAGTGGCAGCGGCTGCTCCCCCCGGGCTCACCTGTTGTACAGGAGGATGTCCGGCTTCCAGATCTGTCCGTCGGGGAAGCGCACGGTCGCCACGCCCGGGTACTCCGACGTGTTCCACTGCAGGTAGTGATCTGTCCAAGACTGACAACGCACAGTGCCGTCAGGAGCACGTATGTCCCCGACCCCCGAAACTGGCCTAGGACACCACCAGGAGGTCACAGCTGGATTCCCGGTCAGGGCTCATGCCCAGGTTGTGGGCTCCATCCCCAGTAGGGGGCGTGCAGGAGACAGCCCACCCATGGTTCTCACTCATCATGGATGCTTCTATCTCCCTCTCCCTTCCTTTCTGAAATCAACTTTAAAAAGGGGCGGAAAGAAAGAAAAGAAAGAAAGAGAGAGAGAGAGAGAGGGGGGGGGGAGGAAGAAAGAAAGAAAGAAAGAAAGAAAGAAAGAAAGAAAGAAAGAAAGAAAGAAAGAAAGAAAGAGAGAGAGAGAGAAAGAAAGGAAGGAAGAAAGAAAGAAAGAAAGATAGATCACCTTTAATTACAGATTGCTAGCATGGCCCCAGCAAGCCATGGGCTGGCTTGTCTTAAGAGCCCAATGTGAAATGACAGAGTTCAGAAATGAACAAGAGAAATGCGTTAGAAATACAGTTGCCCTGGCCGGTGTGTCTCAATGGATAGAGCGTTGGCCTGCGGGACAGAAGGGTCCTAGGTTCGATTCTGGTCAAGAATACATGCTCAGGTGGAGGGCTTGATCCCCAGTAGGGGAGGGGGGGCGGGGTGTGCAGGAGGCAGCCAATCCATAATTCTCGCTTATCATGGATGTCTCTCTCTCTCTCTCTCCCCCTTCCTCTCTGAAATCAATACAAATATATTTTAAAAGAAAGAAATGTAATTTAGAGCCTAGCTATCAGGCCCACAGTTAGAGTCAGGAGATAAGAAAGAACAGAGACTATATTATAAGATGGCTTGGAAACCGAGAACCAAGAAGAATGACCGACATTGCACACTGGGAGAAGACAGACATTTTTTCCTGACTCGGTGACAAATGTCCCGTTCTCAAAGGAGCCCCGGGCGGGGATTGTGTGAGTGGCCGGAATGTCCCTCAGAAAGGAAACGGGTGCCTGTGCTGCTTCTCCTGGGTCAAACCAGATGATGCCTGACAGACCCTCCGAAGCAATAAACTAAGCCACAGAGCAAATCTCCCCCTTCCTCCCCCCCTCGCTTCCTCCAAGGACCAGAACGAGGCAAATATGACATCAGCCGCCTACCCCTCCTCCGGCCCAGTCACCGGAATGCCGGATGGAAGCAAGGGCGAGGAGGACGATGGAAAAGCAAGATCCTACTGGCTGGTCAGGAAGAACTCATTGTGCTTCCGCTGTTCACCTTTCTGCCTCTGTCCTCGGGAAGCACAGAAACGTGGAGCACTTGCAGGGGCTTCTGCTGGGGGGCCCTGGCGTCCAGGAGGTGGATGTAGATGTGGGAGCAGGAATTCAGCAACGTGAGACCCCAGGAGCCCCATTTCCTGTCCCCATGTCCACCCTCCCTCAGAACCCCGGCCTTCCACCGGCAGCTGCTCTTGTATCTGTCATGTATTTTTTAAAAATATATTGTATTGATTTTAGAGAGAAGGGAAGGAGGAGGGAGGGGGAGAGAGAAAGAGAGGGGGGGGGGAAAACATCAATGGGCTGCCTCCTGCACTCCCCTTTCTGGGAGAGCAAGCCCACAACCCCGACCTGTGCCCTGACCAGGAATTAAACTGGTGACCTCTAGGTTCATCAGTCGACACTCAATCACTGAGCTACGCTGGCTGGGCTTTAGCCTTTCTTTACACTGTGCATTACCCAGCCTGATGGGAAGTGGCTTGGGAGCAGCTGAATAAGTAAAGGCGATGACAGGGATGAGCTTTAAAGCAAATGAAGCAGAGGATGCCTTAATCAGAACTGAGCTGTGCCTGAGAGAGCCCAGGTCTCCGGGACTCCTCCAAGCAGGGAGGGTGTGTGTTTATGGACTCAAACAGTGCCTGACCATCCAGCTATGGGCTTCTCCTGACAATCAGCACCCTTCCGCTCAAATCGCCCAATCTTTTCCTTTTAATCCTCACTCGAGGATATGTTTTCATTGACTTTTTTACAGGGAGAGGAAGGGGAAAGGAGGGGAAAGAGAGAGAGAGAAGCATCGATGGGAGAGAGAAACATCGATCAGTTGCCTCCCGTACACACCCAGACCGGGGATGGAACCCACAACCTAAGTAGGTGTCCTGTCTGAGAATCGAACCTGCAACCATTTGGTGTCCAGGATGGCAGGCCTGGCTTTTCTCCCGGGACCTCTGCTGCCCCTACCATCCACACACGAGCATCTCAGAAGCCAGGGCAGGGCTATCCGAGGGCGGGGACTGCCCTGGTCTCCACTTACCATCTGCAGCCAGATGTTGGTGGTGAGGACCTGGTTCTTCTCGTCCTGGAAGGGAAAAGAGGAGATTGTGACTGGTGGATACGGTTTGCAAAAGGGCCAGCCCCGCCCCTCTGAGAGTAGCCCGGTTCCTGGGACTGCGGGGATGGGTGGGAAGCGGCAGGCGCCAAGCCTGCTTGAGTCACACGGCCCCAGAGTCCAGCTGCCCTCTTCATTCAGAGGTAACACGCATTTATCATCGGGCCCTTACAAAAGGCTGAAAGTACAAATAGAAAATGAAAACCCTGCCCTGACCAGCGTGGCTCAGGGGATAGAGCGTCGGCCTTCGGACAGAAGGGCCCCAGGTTCGATTCCGGTCAAGGGCATGGACCTTGGTTGCAGGCACATCCCCGAGGTGGTTGTACAGGAGGCAGGTGGATCGATGTTTCTCTCTCATCGATGTTTCTAACTCTCTATCCCTCTCCCTTCCTCTCTGTAAAAGATCAATAAAATATATATATATTTTTTTAAAGAAAAATGAGTCGAAACCGGTTTGGCTCAATGGATAGAGCGTCGGCTTGGGGACTGGAGGGTCCCGGGTTCGATTCCGGTCAAGGGCATGTACCTTGGTTGCGGGCATATCCCCAGTAGGGGGTGTGCAAGAGGCAGCTGATCAATGACTCTCTCTCATTGATGTTTCTAACTCTCTATCTCTCTCCCTTCCTCTCTGTACAAAATCAATAAAATATAAAAACAAAAATTTTAAAAAAAATGAAAACCCTGCTACCCCACCACATGGAGGTGGCACCTGCTAATGGCTTAGCTTATTGTTCTATTTTAAAAATAATTTATATAACTAGAAAATTAAAATGGGCACAAAGTCCAATATTAAAAAAAAAAAAAAAAAAAAAAAAACCTTCCCCAAGTATAAGTTTATTGATTTTAGAGAGTCAAGGGAGAGAGAGAGAGAGAGAAATATCCATGATGATAGAGAATCAGGGATTGGCCGCCTCCTGCCCACCCCCTACTGGGGACGGAGCCCACAACCCTGGGCATGTGGCCTGACCGGGAATCGAACCCTGACCTCTTGGTTCCTTCGTGGACGCTCGACCACTGAGCTGGGCAAGGACTTGTTCTTCGGAATGGACTTCAAGTGCCAGCCGGTGTTCCGTGCGGGTGGCCTGCGCTCTGTTAATGGCATCATGCCCGTCTGCTCGGGAAAACGCTTCTGTGGTTTGGGAGTCTGAGTGCCACCGATCTAATTAAAAGGCTTTCTTCTTCCCAGCACCCCGCCTGAAACCTCATTACAGCGGAGCGGGCTCTCCGAGGCGCGCACAGCGGGGGGCCAGCCGGCATCTCGACTGCACCAGCTCAGCGCAGCCAGCCAGCGGCCACTGTCGCGGTGCCAGGTAGGGACGACTCCAGGGGACAAGCTCAAGGAACCGGCAGGCAGGCTGTTGTCTGCATCCCCGAGTGGGTCCCCGGCCTCCCCCCTCCCCGTCCACTCGCTGGCGCAGCCTCTCGGCTCTCTGTCTGCTCCATGACAAGGTGTCAGAGAGCTCCTTCCCACCCCACCCCCCAGTGCAGCGCCTCCTCCTCCCTCCCCAGATTCCTACGCCGCCGAAAGGTCACCCTCACTGAGAGGGTATTTGAGGCGGGACCTTTGCCCGGTGATGAGCTCAGAAGGGTGCGGCCCTTGTGACTGGGATTAGCGCCCTTACCAAAGGGAACCTGGGCTCCGGCCGATGTGGCTCGGTGGGTGGTTGGGCATTTGACCTGTGAACCGGGAGGTCACGGTTGGATTCCCAGACAAGGCGCATGCCCAGGTGGCATGCTTGATTCCCAGTAGGGGGCGTGAAGGAGGCAGCCGATCGATGATTTCTCTCTTTATCATTGATGTTTCTCTCTCTCTCTCCCTTCCTCTCTGAAATAAATAAAAATATATTTTAAATAAATAAATAAATGGGACTTGGGTTAGATCCATCCATTCACTCACTCATTCATCCACTCATTTATTATTCACTCACTCGTTATTCACACATCCATTCAATCTTCCAGCCATTCATTCGCTCATTCATCTCCTCGCTCATTCACTATTCATTCATTCATCCAGTCATTCATTGTTCACTCATTCATACATTCACTCGCTCATTAGTTAGTCACTCGTTCATTCACTAATTCACTCACATTCATTCAATGAATGTTGATGGAGCACTTCCTGTTTGAGGCATTCATGCCAGGATGACAGGTACAGGCGCTCTAAACGGACATTGTCCCTGAGCTCATGGGGTGGGGGGTGGGGGTCACACAATTCAACGTGATACACAACCTCAAGTAGTGACAGGCCCTGGAGACAGGAGCAGGGCCCTGTCACAGGAGAGGACAGAGGCAGGCTTTGCCTGGGCTGCGGCAGGGGGCGGGGAGAGGGGGGAAGAGACCAGGAGCAGAGAGCCCGGTGGATGAGTCTCCCCGTACACAGCTACGATCCAGGAAGCAGGCTCGTGACGTCTAACAACTACAAAAAATGCTGACTTCACTGCTCTCCTGAGAGAGCAGCTGAGAGACTCTGAGTCCCAGGCCAGCGATTGGGGCCGTGTGTGCTGCACAGACATGCGAGGGCACCCTCTTTTTTCTGCGTCCGTCACCACGGTGGGCCGTGTCGGACATGGCGGGCAGAGGTGTCTCGTGGCTCAAACGACAGATGACAGACTGTGTCTCAGCCCTCACCCTGAGCCGGGGGCAGGGCCAGGAGCGTGGCTTGTTTCACAGCTGTGCTTAAGCACCACACTAGCCTGGCTCCGTGGCTGAGCGGTGACCTACGAACCAGGAGGTCACGGTTTGATTCCCGGTCGGGACACATGCCCAGGATGTGGGCTCAACCCCGGGAGGGGTCGTGCAGGAGGCAGTCGATTCACAAGTCTCTCATCATAGATGTTTCTCTCTCTCCCTCTCCCCGCCTCTCTGAAATCAGTAAAGATACATTAAAACAACTGTGCTTAAGCAGCGCCCTCCCTCTTGACCATGTGCTCCCTGCAGAGCACCCGGCAGGACAGAGACACACACAGTTACTGTGGGGGCTCCCCCACCGACCCCATGACTGAATGGGAGCAGTGGCGGTACTGGCTGCCGTGTATGTGTGCGAGAGAGAGAGAGAGAGAGAGAGAGGGAGAGAGAGAGGGAGAGAGAGAGGGAGACATTGAGCCAAATGCACTCTATTTAAGGTTCAGCCGTCATTTTCAGGGTCTCACTTGCTGACATCCCCGGGATGACAGGTACAGGCGAGAACCTCGTGCTTCATTTTTTTTCTACCGATCGCCTGCCTCTGCCTTTCTGATGGGTAGGAGTTGGCTTCTTATTCTGAACATAAAATTTTTTTGTCAGCTCTAATATCCCGCTGACTCAGGGAAAAACACCCTCTCCACGTGTTCCTCTTTAAACCGGGGGTGGGGGGGGGGGAGGGAGAGAAGAGGAATGTGGTCGTTGGGACGACTCGGTGAGGTAGAAGGAGTAATTCTCGCTCTAAACGCCAGAGTGCGACGCGGATGGGGTTTATATTACCCAGCGGTTTTCCGTGCCAACGAGAATGTAGACAGTGAGATGTATGGCCATGGTTTCTCCCGACACCTGCACAGAAGCAGGGAGGAGGGCGCCGGCAAAGCCGCAGAGCCCCGAGGAGCCAGGCCGCCCCCCTCGCTCCGGGAGAAGGATGGCCGTGGAAATGCAAGACAGCACTTTACGCATTACCAGGGGAGCTGTACGCCACGGCCGATGCACGGCTCTTCCAGAAGATTGATTCCAAAGAGCATTAGATGCTTAAATCAAAATGCATTTTTTAAATACGCTTTTATGGACTTCAGAGGGAGGAAGGGGGAGGGAGAGAGAGATGGAAATGTCAACGATGAGAGAGAATTACGGATCGGCTGCCTGCCTCCTGCACGGCCCCGCACTGGGGATGGAGCCCACAACCCGGGCCTGGGCCCTGATGGGGAATCGAACCGTGATCTCCTGGTTCCTAGGTCGATGCTCAGCCACTGAGCCACGCCCGCCGGGCAAACATCATGGGAATTTCTATTATTATGGAAGGCTCCAAATGACTTTCCCTTTCTCTGAGTAGAAGGCGGCCTGAAAGGCAGTTTACAAGGGAGATTCCTGTGGCGGCAGACGTGCCATAACTCCCTCTGTAAAGCCGAGAGCTCGGCGCCCCCGTATGTCCCAGAGCCGGAGAGGGCTGCGAGGGGTAACAGGCGTCCAGCCATAAATGGGGACCCGTGGCGAAGGGCCTGGTAAACACGCTTCAACCCAGCACTGCCCTTCTGCCGTCCGCAGTGAGGAGCCAGGGGCTCTCACCAACCTCCCGGGAGGACGGTGAGAACCGCTGGAGAGCCCGGGCGGTGTGGCTCACTGGTTGAGCATCGGCCTCTGAACCAGGAGGTCACTAGGCAGGGCACAGGACTGGGTTGCAGGCTCGATCCCCAGTGTGGGGTGTGCAGGAAGCACCCAATTGATGATTCTCTCATTTTTGATGTTTCTCTCTCTCTCCCCCTCTCCCTTCCTCTCTGAAATCAATAAAAATATATATATTTTTTAAATATATTTTATTGATTTTGTACAGAGAGGAAGGGATAGAGATAGAGAGCTAGAAACATCGATGAGAGAGAGTCATCGACCAGCTGCCTCTTGCACACTCCCTACTGGGGATATGCCCGCAACCAAGGTACATGCCCTTGACCGGAATCGAACCTGGGACCCTTCAGTCCCCAAGCCGATGCTCTATCCACTGAGCCAAATCGGTCTCGGCAATAAAAATATATTTTTTTATAAAGAGAAAGAAATATAAATTGGAGAGTAGTTTCAAAACACTCCCCCCCCAAAAAAAAATTATCGCCACAATTTTTCACATACAATGTCTGGGACACAATTTAAAAATAACCAACCAGGCTTTAGCTGCATCATGAATCATTTCAATAAATGCTTTTTAAACGTTTTCTAAAATAAAGAACCGGAATAGGGATTGAATATGCAATGATGATGAGAGTTATGTAATAATGGGACAAGAATACAATTTCATT